GGCGCTGGGTGTGAACTCCACGAGTCCTCTGCCAACGCGTGTTGGGAGAAGGGGGTTCGGTGGCCGGGGGCCGGCTGCGCTTCCTTCTGGGGTGCAGGCAGCCGGGAATGGGGTGCCTGGAAGGGCAGAGATTCCCGAGAGGGTGGGGGGCACGGTTCAAGAATGCGAACGGGACGGGAAGGTTTTCAGCCTGACCGTGATTCAGTGGCCATGGGTAGCGAGGAGGTAAGGTCGCCTGTCTCCTGCTTTCCCAGGCTTCCTTGCCCCTCTCTCCTGATGCATTCGCATCTGAAGTACGGGGTCCTGGGTTGTGGTGGCTTTGGCAGGAAGTTGTTAACCCCGAGGGAGCTGTGAAGGACCTGGTGCTCTGTGGTAGCCAACTCTTTCTTCGTTTCTTTTTTTTTATTATTATTTATTTTTCTTCCCCAGGTGCTGCTGATGGGTAAAAGTGGGTCTGGGAAGACCAGCATGAGGTCCATTATCTTTGCAAACTACATCGCCAGGGACACACGGCGCCTGGGTGCCACAAGTAAGACATCTCTCGTTTGAACTGCAAATTCTCAGGGCTCAAACCCCCTTCATTAAAGGGGCGAGGCCGTTCCCTCCAGCAATCCCTGCCTCTCCCCAGCTCTGGAGTAGGTGGGTGCCTGCTCGTCCTCCCAGCTGCCACACCTCACAGGGAGCTTCGCTCCTGAGTTCAGCTGAGGGCAGGTGGGAAGCTGGAGTGAAAGGGAAGGCAGCGCTGGCTTCAGTTTTGCTGCTTTATTGTCGAACTTTTATCCTTAACTCTCTTTTTTTGATCAGGAGGCAGCCTTTGCTGCTGCCACACCTATTGTTGGAGGAGTGCTCAGAGCCTCCTCATGGTCCTCCGTGTTGGTGAAGCTTTCCGGATCGCTAGCGCAGCTGGAGACGCGGTGATCTCGCTATGCGCCTGTGGTTTTGGCAGGATGATGCACCAGGCTTAATTAGTGTCTTCTGCCTCCTTTTTCTTTTTTTTTCCCCCTCCAAAAACCACTGATCTGAAAAAGCAATAAGTGATTCCTCCGAAACAGGGGTATGAATTGTCAGGATCTAACGCTCCTAGCTGGGAAGCGCCTGTGAGGACTTAACGTCGCGGGTTGGTGCACGTTTCCTCTTTGCCATAAATTTGGCCTGTTCATAATGTTTACGTTCTTTGTGTTACCGCTTTATTTTTAAGGCTTGCTTAAGGCCTCGCAGAGTACGCTGGAACTAATGTCACTCTTAAAATATCACAAAGTTCAGAGAACATGTTGTTGAAGGGGAACCACCTGCCGTGCTTCTGGGAGAATAGTGTCCTGGGTGGAGAGTAGGAAGGCTTGAATGGCTCTGGGAACTGTCTTTTTTCCATAGTGCCTTCAGCTACAGGTTTACGTACAGCGATGTTGTTTAGATGGGATTTTACAAATTGTGGGCTGTGTTGTGACGAACGGCATTTTTGGCTGCCCGAGGAGGTGGCTCTGATCTTGGGTGTGTGGTACAGTGGGTAAACTCCTGTTGTCTCTTTCCAGTTGACGTGGAGCACTCCCATGTTAGATTTCTAGGAAACCTGGTATTGAACCTCTGGGACTGCGGAGGGTAGGTACTGTTTATTCTTTTGCTTTTGAAACCGTTGCGGGGTTAGCTTTGGGGAATAAGGCTGGGGACGTCACAAAGCAGAGGCCCTCCTGCTCCGGAGGGACGAGCGTGCTGCTTGTGAATGAAGGGCGTAGAACAAGCGTTGGGCATGCGCTGTAAGACCGGTGAGACAACCCTGGAAAGTGCCACGTCTCAGGCTTGTGCGTGGAGGTGGGTGGAAGAGGTTGGCAGGATCACACCATCTCTTGAGTTACCCGTACGTAAAAGGAGCAGCGCATAGGTCCACCCTTCCCTTGCTGGCCAAAAGCCTGAGCCCCTCACCTGGACTCTCTCCTGAGGTGGTGGGAGGTGACGGCTGGTTTCAGAATTGCTTATCACTGGCTTGACCCAAGTGGGGTGCGTGCTGGGAAGCGATGCTGCAGGTTGACAGTGATCCCGTGGCTCCTGGAAGCAGCGTTTTGAAGAGCGCTCTCCCACTGGCAGAGCCTCAGCAGAGCTGTCCGACTTGGCTAAGCTTCGTCAGCTCTCGTGTCCTCCTGTGTTGTCTGAGCCATCTTCAGCAAAAGTTAAAGGAGATTGAAAGCTTGTAATAAGAGGCTACACTGATGGTTTGGGTTACATTTTAGCTTCTGCTGCTGTGGCTTTTTTATACGCAAGGGTCTAAAAGCCAGTCTGGGTCCAGAAGCAGCATAGCTCCGTTTGCGCGGGACGCTGAGCAGCCAGCTGTGACGTGAGGGAAGCTTCAGGTTCCCGTGAGACTGGCAAGCAGACGCCTCAGGAGCATCCCACTTGGCTCCGTTGGAAATGCTTAGGGAGCCTTTGGTCATGGGGAATTTAGCCACCCGTGGGGCTCTTGTCTAGGCTCCTGTGATGGGGTCTCGAGCTCAAAATGCGAACCTCGCCTTTCTAGCAGGAGACATTTTACATGTAGCACCTTTCCTGGCAACGCTAAGCAAGACCTGGCTGCTCTAATGGGAGTCTCCTTGCTTTGTTGCTCTGCTCCTTCTCAGGCAGGACACCTTTATGGAGAACTACTTCACCAGTCAGCGGGACAACATCTTCCGCAACGTAGAAGTCCTCATCTATGTCTTTGATGTAGAGAGCCGTGAACTGGAGAAGGACATGCACTACTACCAGTCATGCTTGGAGGCAATTCTTCAGAACTCTCCTGATGCAAAGATCTTTTGTCTTGTGCACAAGATGGACTTGGTGCAGGAGGATCAGCGGGATTTGGTGAGAAGCTGATAGTTGCCATAGAAATGCTTTCAAGTAGAGCGTCTTTTGACTCTGCTAATGCGTTGCGATTTCATACTTCAGATACAGCCCCATCAGCACTGTTTCTAGAAGGGTTTCTCGGATATTAGGAATTGTCAAAGCCCTCTCAGCTTTTTCTGCCTTTTCTAAATTGTATGTCATCGCTATCTCTTGCATATTATCTAGCAGAGAACAGAACTAATGATTTTTAGTGACAACTACTCTAAGCCTTTTCTTTCATAGCACTGATTCTAGTACTTTCAGCAGACCTTGGCTCCAGAAGGGAGGTAGAACTGAAGGGAAGGTAGAACTGAAGCCCAGCAATCTTAAACTTGCTGCTCATTGTTTGGGTGGCTTTGAGGATGGTGGTGGTGACAGTGATGGTTGCTTTCTCTTTAGCTGTTGCTTTCAGTCCAGCATAGCCTCTGTTCTAAAGCATAACGAAAAAAAAAAAACCAAACCCAAAAGAGTTGAAACTTTCACAGTTTCTGGGAAGGTGGTTTCTATCGGTTGATTCTGCTTTCTGTCAGTTTGGCCTGCCTGCCCAGAGATCACCTCTTACGCACTCCTCTGCCCCGAGAGGCATACTGCAAAGGCTGGGGATCATCCTTTTGGAGGCGTTGGGTGTTTCATGTTCTTTTTGGAGCTTTTGAAAGGTTGCAGGGAGATTGGAAGATGATGAGTTCCTACCAACCTTGATTTTTCAGCTTGGACTGAAAAGCAACCAACTCCGGATACCAAATGAAAAATTAGCTTTGTGGGTTAGACAAGTACAACCCTGGCTGCTTGGCCACTCCCTGGCTTGCAGCAGGTTTGGAGGCCCCTTTAGGCTGTTGGCTTTTGTCTGAAGTAAGGTGTCTTACTAAACTTTCTTCTGATTCCTGGTGAGTATGTGCCTGGGCAGCTGCAAAAGGAGGCCATGTGAGGTCCTGTGGCTGAAACCACACCCTGACCTTCCTGCACAGACAGACTTCTTCCATGTAGCAGGTTGGCTTTAGATCATTCGTGCTGCCTGAGAGTGGTGATCCTCCTCTTCCAGTTTTAGTTCTGCCCTCCAGCTCGGTGCAGAAGTAGAGAGCTTGTTCATAGGGTTGATTCAAGGAGCTTTTCCTCACTTCCACCTGCCTTCCGTCCAGACTGCAGGATGAGTCTCTTTTTGATGGTGTCCTGTCTGGGTTTGTTTTGGGACTAGTGGACAAATGCTGGTTTTACCTAGTTGTGCAGACTCTGGTGAGCCCCTGAAGTGAAGGGTAGACAGAATAGCAGCCTTGCTTCAGATATGCTTTCAATGTGTATCATGGCACACCCATCAAGATCTGTTTTAAGGTATCTGCTGTTCAGAAGAACGTGCAAATACTGGGCCAAATTGCTATCTCTGTAAATCTTACCAAAGCCTTTGGTATCCCTGGACCCAAATGGTAAGTGTTGGCCTGTGCAGAATTTTGTGGGGATCGGTTAATGTTCTGTCATGTTCCTAAAAAGAGTAAGCTGAGGTGAAGGTGGTCGTCGTGCCTTCCCCTGCAGAGGCACGTTGCTGGCTGTCCTGCTGCTTTGTTAGCAGTTCTGTAGGAGCCTGGCACGAGGCTGGAGCCCCTCTGCTACAGGGCCAGGCTGAGAGAGTTGGGGTTGTTCAGCCTGGAGAAGAGAAGGCTGCGGGGAGACCTTATTGCAGCCTTTCAGTGCTGAAAGGGGGCCTATAGGAAGGATGGGGACAATCTTTTTAGCAAGGCCTGACCTGACAGGACAAGGAGTAATGGAAAGAAGAATAGGTTTAGACTGAATATAAGGAAGAAATTTTTTACAGTGAGGGTGGTGAAGCACTGGCACAGGTTGCCCAGAGAGGCGGTGGATGCCCCATCCCTGGAAACATCCCAGGCCAGGTTGGACGGGGCTCTGAGCACCCTGGGCTGGTTAAAGCTGTCCCTGTCACTGCAGGGGTTGGGCTGGGTGGGCTCTAAAGGTCCCTTCCCACCCAAAGCATTCTGTGATTCTAAGGCTCTCTGGTCTTTGCTGTTCCGCTGCTCCCCTTTTTTTGCAACCGTAACTTCTAAGGGCAGAGTATGATGTGAGAAGAGAAGACTGCGTAAGTACACACCTCTGAGCTGCTCATATTGATGAACCTCGAGTGCTTTCTTCCTGTCTTGTTCTCAGTGACGGAGCTTTTTGCCTGTGACCAGGGACTTGTCAAAACTGAGATCTTCAGAGACGCTCATGTGTGTCCGCTTCCATTCCCACTCCACAACACCCGTAGTTAGTTCAGCTTTGGGTCCCAGTCAGATCTGTTGTGAGACAGCCAGGGTCTCTTCTCCCTGCTGTTCTGGTGGAAGGGGTTTCTGCCAGCCTGTCCTGGCCAGCGTCCTCTGCTGTTGTCTTTTCTCCAGTGCTGTAGGTACTCGAGATTTGTTTGAAATGTGTGCTGTAAATGCAATACAGCAACCACGCCAAAGGCAGAAATATTGACGCTCGACTGCTAATCTTTTTTTTATTATTTCCCAGATTTTTAAAGAGCGTGAAGAAGACTTGAAGCGCCTTTCCCGTCCCTTGGAATGTGTTTGTTTTAGAACTTCCATCTGGGATGAAACGCTTTACAAGGTTTGTATGGTTCTTCTCCATATCTGGCTTCCCCCCCTCTCACTTGAAAACGAGCATGAGGAAGGCGAGTGGTTAGTTGCTCCTGGTTTGTTAGTGACTGGCCCTTTTTCAGTTCTGCAGCAACTGCTTCTGGAGGTTAGCTGTTGTAAACGGCATCAGAGCAACCTGGTTTTAATTAGAAAAAGTAAAACCCCTCCACATGTTGGAGTCATGGTGTCAGTTATGTTAAAACTGCTTAAACACTTTGCCTGGCTACTTTAGAAAGAGCTTCTGCATCTTTTAGTCATGTTTATCCAGCACGGAATTGTTTGCTGTGTTTCTCCTCAGCGCTGTTAAAACACGAGCACGTACCCTTCTGGGAATTTGCCTTGCTTTTGGGAGGGGATGGGTGGTTGTTGTTTTTTGGGGTTTTTTTTGCTAGCAGTCAGTCTTGACTGCAGTGTCAGAGGTCTTCCAGGTGTGGGAGTGGTGAGTGCTACCTGGGCTGCGCTGATAGCAAATGATCGTTATAATTGCCGGCTAATGCTGAGAAGCAGTGGCGGTAGCGTAGCGGCTGGGTTGCTCGTCTGAAGGTGAGGACCGTTTGGCTCATTCTCTTGACCTCAGTGGGGCTTGGGATGGCAGATTTCACCATCCTGGGCAAATCCATCCAAAGCCGTAGCGAATTCCCCTGCCTTCGGTCTGCGACGGGTTCGGTTGAGGCTGGTGCAGTGCCGTACACCAGACATCACTCTGCACAAAGCACACACCCAGCTCCCTCTAGGAATCAGCCTTCCTAAGCAGTGGCACGCCCTGTCTTCCCACAGGCACCCCTGACGTTCATCAGTTACGCTGCTGACTCTGTCTGAGCGGCTTACACAGAGGCAGACCTGTGCTGTTCTTGGCACAGCCCTGCCAGAGCTCTTAGAATCATAGAATTGTTTAGGTTGGAAAAGACCTTTAAGATCATCCAGTCCAACCATTAACCTACACTACCAAGTCCACACTAAACCAGTCAAGGGTAGACTAGACTGAACCATGTCCCCAGGTGCCACATCTACCCATTTTTTGAACACTTCCAGGGATGGTGACTCCCCCACCTCTCTGGGCAGCCTGTTCCAATGCTTGACCGCCCTTTCCATGAAGAAATTTTTCCTAATTTCCAACCTAAACCTCCCCTGGCTCAGCTTGAGCCTGTTTCCTCTTGTCTTATCACTAACTACATGGGAGAAGAGCCCAACACCCCCTCCCTGCCCCCTCCTGCCAGGAGCTGCAGAGCGATCAGGTCTCCCCTCAGCCTCCTCTTCTCCAGGCTGAACACCCCCAGCTCCCCCAGCCGCTCCCCATCAGCCCTGTGCTCCAGACCCTGCCCCAGCTCCCTTGCCCTTCTCTGGACCCGCTCCAGCACCTCAATGTCTTTCTTGTATTGAGGGGCCCAAAACTGGACACGGTATTCCAGGTGCAGCCTCACCCATGCCTGGTACAGGGGGACAATCACCCCCCTGCTCCTGCTGGCCACACTATTCCTGATAGAAGCCAGGATGCTGTTGGCCTTCTTCAGAGCCCGTGCCCTTGGCTCGGGCTTTTAACTTTGCGTTTGGCGGGTGGGGTGGTAGGAGCGTTTGGTAAATACCAGCTGCTTGGATATTTCTGTCTCCTATTTACCACCCTGACTGCTTGGGGGGGAGTGTGTGGTCAGGTGCTGACACAAACCTGGGTCAGTAGGTCGGCAGTGAGGTGGAGCTGAGCATAGAGGACCTGAGTCTGAATGAGGACAGATGCCTGTCACCGCATCCCCGGTCCCTTCTGGGCTGGTTCCCGACTCGCTGGGCTAGATTAGAGCTTTCTGTTGGGATCTGTGACAAGCTGCCAAGTATCCATCTGCACATTGACCTTGCTCAAGCTTAAAAAAAACCCCAAAAAACCTCTGAAAACTTGAGGGGGTTTATCTGGGAGCAGTAGATAGAAGCATTGCTAGCTTAAAATTAGGATGATTTAAGCCTGTTTAGTAGTACTCTGGTTTTTCTGTGACTGACGCGGAGAAGGACTTGACCTAGTGAAGAGTTTACTCGGGTCTGGGGTACCACTGGTAGTCTCCGCTGTGGTAGAGATACCTGGACGCGGAGGTGGGAGAAGCTTCTCAGTCTTGCCTAAGCTATCACCACCCAGAACTGCAAATAATCGGGTTTTGAGCATGTCGCGTAACAAGAGGATGAGGCAGAGCAGTGCTAATGCAGCCCTTATGTTGTGTCTTTCTTTGTTGACAGGCTTGGTCCAGTATAGTCTATCAGCTGATCCCCAATGTCCAGCAGCTGGAAATGAACCTGAGGAACTTTGCTCAGATCATCGAGGCAGATGAAGTGCTTCTGTTTGAGAGAGCCACTTTCCTGGTGAATACAGCAGCTCTGCCCTTCGGGTTCCTCTGCCCAGCCTAGGACGGAGTTCCCTGGACGGAAAGCGCTGTTGTGGCGGTAGCCCAAAGAGAGGTGCCAGTGCCAGAGGGCAGAATGCATTGATCCAGGCCTCGTGATACTGAAAGTAGCTGACGGGCCTCCACGGCTCACGGGACCTTCCCAAAATTTCCACTTTTAGCAGCTGAGCTGAGGGTGTTTCCTCTCCCAAGCTATGAGAGGGTTTCATATCCCCATTCTGTTGTCAGCCACGGGACTTTTTTCAGAATTCCTTTCTGCACAGGGCAAGAACCTTCTTTAGTCTGAGAGAAGCCTTTTCAGTTCCTCCTGGCCTGGCATTTTAACTGGTCTTGATTGCTTTTTGGTGTGCGTTTCTTGGTTTTTTTGGTCTGATGCTCTACAAACCCGGAGTATGGATAGAGGATCACGAGCGATTGGATTGCAATAGCTGTCCAAGTTCCCAGCTGCGTGGTAACTGTGCTTCCAATCCGTTGTCTCTGCAAGGTAAAATACGTTGGTTAGAACCACCACGGCTGCTTGTCCATCCATACTCTCGGTTTCTGGATTGGTCTCTTCAGACTTTGCACCAAAACTCTTGCTGACCTGAAGGAATGGTTTTGAAATTTTTTGAGTGCTCTCCTTGATGACCAAATGTCTGATTTTTGCAATGACAGAGGGAATGTGGAAAAGGAGCCGTTACTTTTCTTGCTACTTAAACTGCCAGAAGTAGACACCTGCCATTTCTGGCCAGTTCTGCTTTTTGACCTTTTGTAGATAATACATAGTTCCACCTTGGTGGTATGTAACAGTACTTTTGTTATAAGTATTTTTTTTTTTTTTTACTGAAAAAGAATAATCTTTGCTACAAAAATTCTATGCTTACTTTCAGTGTAATGGTTTCTCTTTTAAAAGACGCTTTCTTCTCACTTTTTTCATATATTTAAACTTCCCTCAGGACTCCTTTCCCCTGAAGCGAAATCTTACTCTGAAATTGTATTCAAATCACAGTAACAGAAAAACCTATGTGGAAAGCTAAGGAACGAACTTGCATACAGTGAAGGCTTCGGTATGAATGTGATCCTTGAATCTGGCTAAACCTGTACTTGTATGAATAATTGGGCAGGTTTAAAAAGTAGGAAGTACATGATGATCCTCTTCAGGTGCTCATGGGGGAAAAAGAAAAACCAACCCCAAAACTTAGTTCTTGCAAGCCCGTTAAATGTGAAAAAGTTTAACATCCTTGCGCAAGGGCGTCTGACGCTTCCAGTAGCAGTTGGTTTCATGATTCTCAAGAGCTTAAAGCACACAAGTTTTTTTTTTAAAACGCTCCTTTTTGGTTTGCTGTGGGAAGAAAGATGATGTAACTATTTGACTGTGTGCCATTCCCCTTATGCAGTAAATGCAGTTCTCAGCCCGTTAGCTTGTTTGGCTGAGGAGTAAAGGTCTGTAGGCTGCCAGCCTTGTGAAGATGGTCAGGGAGAGGCGGCTGTGGAATCACGCTGCAGGGGTTCCTGAAAACTTGTGATCCTCTGAAAGCTTTGCAGCCGGGCGCTAAGGTCTGCACATGGCTGCTGGATCGCTACGTGGGAGGAAGAGGAGGGGAACCCATGTGAATGCAGGCGGCTTAGCACGGTCTTGGTCTGACTCAGTTAACTGATGGAGAGAGAACTCCCTAGGAAACCAGCTGCCTTTGTTCTGCTTTGCTTAGGGAGGATCGGCTTGCTTGGGCTTTGAAGAGCAGTGCTTGTGCATCCTACGTGTTGCAGAACGGGAAACTTCTCAGGTTCAGTCCTTGAGAATCTGCAGCACGATAGGCTGAGGAAGGAAAAGCCATTCCAGCATTTGTCAAGTGTCTGTTCCTCCTACCTGAGGTGATGGTCTTGCATTTTTTTTTTCCTCTCCTTGCGCTTTCTTGTTCTTTGAATCAATCAATTGCTGCCAAGTTGGAGTATTCAGACCTCAAATGGACAATAGTGTCTCTCGCATATCATACGTGCTTGCATCTGGGCTTGTGAAAGGCTTCCTGGCGATTGTATTACCGAGTCTTGTTTTACCGTGAACCCACCACAGGTATTAGCGCAAAGAGTTTCCCAGACTCAACCAGCAAAAGGCAAAGGGGATCCCTGTCCTGGTCACCGCGCGTTTCCCGTAATTGCTGTTGAGCCTAAGAAACCCGCGCTGAAATAAATTACTAACTAACTCCGCATTCTCTCTCTCTCCCTGCCTTCCAGGTCATTTCTCACTATCAATGCAAAGAACAGCGGGATGTCCACAGATTTGAGAAAATCAGCAACATTATTAAACAATTCAAGCTAAGTTGCAGGTGAGCGGGTTTAATCGTTAGGTGGGGAAGATACCTCAGCATGTATTTCGGCTTCATCCGGAAGCACGAAGGCTCTCCAAATTAATGCGAGTTCTGTGACTCCTCGGCAAGCTGAGATGCCATAGTTAAATTGTACCATGCTTAAAACACAACGGAGTTAATTGTTATCTTTTGTAACTTCCCCTTTTGCTGATGGCTGAAGGAGGTTTGCTCTGAAACAACCATTTTCTTCTAGGCCTCGTTCTCCTGGGCAAGGTAGGGAAGCTCCAGGACTGAGCTGATAAATTAGGGACGGTCAACAGCGCTGCGGAAAGTCAGATGGAGAGCTTTGCTTCAGACCCTGTACCACAGTGCGGGTTTGGGAGGAAGAGGCTTGCCGACGTTATTTATCGATATTTGGAATGGAAAAGTGGAAAGCTTGCTTTGGAGTAGCTTGGCTTTTGAACAGCCCCCAGGTTCCGCAGTCTGTTGGCGATATCTGCGAGCGTTTGGAGCCTGGATAGGATGGAGAGGTGGCTGCGTGGTTTATGCAGAGCTGTCTCCAGCTATTTCAGTTTTATACTTATTTCTCCTGGTTAGGCACGGAGTGTCCAACTGTCCTCCTGAATGACTGAGCTGTTACATCCGTGGGGCAAGTGACGTTGACTGCTTGGGCACAGCAGTCTCAGATAATCAGTGGGGTTGTCTATCTTGGTTGGACTGGGTGATCTTAAAGGTCTTTTCCAGCCTAAACGATTCTATGATTCTGTGATCTTGAGTTACCTTCACCATCCAATGCGCAAATCATTTCATATTGTTGTCATTTAGCCTAAAGCTAAAGAGTTTTTTCTTTAAAAAAAAAAAAAAACCAAAACAAAAACCCAACCAAACTCGTAGTTGCACCTGCTGTTGCTTGCCAAGTTGAGGACTCGGACACTTCTTTGTTACCAACAACTCAAATAACGGGATGTTGGCTGTGGGGGCGCAAAAGCTGTTTGAGCAATGTTACAATAATAGTTCATTTACTTTTTTTTTTTCCTTTCTTTTTTTTCCCTCCCCTCTTAGTAAGCTGGCAGCTTCTTTCCAGAGCATGGAGGTCAGGAACTCTAACTTTGCTGCTTTCATTGACATCTTTACATCAAATACGTACGTGATGGTGGTTATGTCGGACCCTTCAATACGTAAGTCGAAGCAAAGATAAGCCTCTGGCCCGGTTTTGTTTCCGGGAACAAAAAGCTGAATGAGTCTGGTTTAAACTGTGTTTCTCTTGGAAAATGCAAACACCAGGCAAAGCAGTAAAACTGATTGTAATTAAATGAGAGAGAGGGGGATCTACTGTGCTGCTGCTTTGCCCTGGCCGAGCAGAGGGTGGGGAAGGTGGCTAAAAAGTGACTGACTTTGGAGAAGGCAAGCGACGTGCGCCTTTGACAGCCGAGCCGCTTGTTCCTGTCGAGCGGAGGATCGTAGCGGCGGTGGGGAACCACGATAGCAGATGTGACCCGATTTAGCAGGTCGTGTCTAATAACCTATTTTGGGCCGTTCTGGTCTGGCAGCCCCAGTGATTTTTGGAGAGGAAGGAGAGATGGATCGTACTTGAGTTTTTGCTCTTGCTGCCCGAACTGTCGCGGTGGGCAAGGACTCTAATTATAGTAGCATCTATTTATCTTAAAGAAGAAACTGCAGCCAGCAGCGCCGGCCCTCACGGGCGCAGCGCGACTATTTAACTGTTTACACAGCTCTGATTGAAACTGCTCCTGTTAGGATTTGAGGTGCTTAAGAGACACTGTCCAGGACGGCCTTAGGGCTGGCAGTGTTGATGCTTCCTCTCCTCCTCTTCTCGAATGGCTTACTGAATTAGGGAAAACCTGTGCAAACCCCGTGACGGAATTACCGGCTGCGGTATTGTTGTGCTCGAGGAGCAGCCAGTGAGCTGCTGCGGTGACCTGCGCAGTGGTGACCTGTGCAGTTATCCCCGGGAGCGAACTGTAGCTCGCTCTGACTCTTCCGTGGTGCCGCCCTGGGATCAGCGAACAGCCCAGACCTTCCAGCGATAAATTGTGCACAGCTAGGGAGCCGTGGGGTTGAAATAAGAGAGTTTGCTGACGGGGATGTTGCTTTTATGCAGCACTTAACTTCCGAGGACTTGGTTACTCGCACCCCTTTTAACTGTGTTGGTTTGTTGTTTTTTTTTTTTTTATCTCCCCTGTGCCTTTTCCGTCCTAGCTTCTGCGGCTACGCTGATCAACATCCGCAATGCCAGAAAACACTTTGAGAAGCTGGAGAGAGTGGATGGACCAAAGCACAGCCTGCTCATGCGCTGAATGTTGGCCGAGGCACACGGTCTTTGGGGGGAGAAAAAATGAATTGGAACTACTTATTTTTAGGAGAATCTAACAATGTTGGTGTCTTTGTTGGGCTTTGAAATGAGTGTGCTGCTTTATTTTTTCTCCTTTTAACGTTGGACACTAGTCACTCGGAGGATGTCTGGATACACTGCGGACCTGCAAAAGAGACTTCCCTGGCGCGCGCGGGGTTGGGAAGAAGCAAGGACAGGTGATGTGCACATGGTCTCGTACTCCTGGTTGTCGTAGTTGCACTTGGCAGAGCCATTTTGGATGTTTTGCTCCCGGCTGTTCATATAAGTCACAGGAATGGAATATTTACTGTTTTATTGGTTGGTTGCTAGAATACGTTTATAAATTTCTCCTTGTCTTCAGTCATGAAAATAAATTTTTGCTACCAGGGATTTCGGATCCTAGAGCTTTGGAAAGTGGAATTTCTTTCTTCTAAAACCTAGGGCAGCTTCGGCAAGCAGATGTGTAATAGCTGCATTTCTCCTTTCACGTTATTAGCGGGGGGGTGTTGACTGAAGGCCATTCCAGAGTTTCATTTAAGATAATTTTGGGGGTTTTTCCCCCCACGTGGAGGCAAAATTCACTCAGCAGGTGAAAGCAGGCTGGCATTGGCCTCTCTACGCTTGGCCTTCGTCCTGGTGAGCCAGGAGGGGCCGGTGTGGGCATGGAGGAGCCCTGGGACGTGCTTGTGGGTGGTGTGTGCATGAGCTATATTAGCTACGTCTGCGACGAGCCAGTTGGGCGGCATTTGGCACCAATGTTACTTGACGTTACTGTCTATTTTTTAATGAATTTTTTGTGTGCATTTCCATTAAACATAGGAACAACAAAAGCACTGTGAGTTAGGGGAGTCTCTGCCTTGCTGGGTGGGAGCTGGTGCTTGTCAGCATCTCTTCTTTTTTTTTTTTTTTTTTTTTTTTTCTCTCTTGCTGCATCAAATTACTGTATAAAAAAGGGTGTGGTGACTCCGAGCCTGGCTCTTTGCTTTGTATTCTCAAAATCCTGCTTTCTCCCCGTATCCCTGCCCACGCACGCACTGGCGGGGGGGGAGATCTGACAGGGCGAGTCTGCTACGGGAGATCGGGCAGCTAAAGGGCGCGTCTCGGCTGGAGGGCTGAGGATGGGCTCCGCGCAGAATCTTCCATCGCTTCTCAATCTTTATGGTATTAAACACCTGTGTCTTGCACCGCCTACTCGGCGGATGCGGTGGTGCTCTGTCAGGCTGGGTGTGTTTTTGGTGAGAATCGTCAAGTCAGCATCCCTGTGGGAGAGGAACTTGCCGAGATTCCTATGAATGACTCGGGTGCCTGAGTTTCTGGAGAACTTGTGAATGGGCCGGAGATGCGGCAGAGGGTTTCCATTTGTCTTCGGTGCTTGCAGGTGTGGAACATGGTGATGGTCATGGAGTGGGAACAGCAAATCTCACCCACAGTCGCTTTTTGCCTGCCGTCGGGGTGGAGCAAGCCGAAACGCGACTGCCGTTTCCTCTTGTGGATGCTGCCCCGCCGCTCGGACGAGGTCAGTCCCTGCTTTTGCTCCTTCAGTAGAGAAACTTCCAGGCTTTCTGCACCCAAACCCTGCCCTTGGCGCCGTTCAGCAGAGCAGGAGGATGAGTCGCGGCTGATCTGTATGTTGTGGGAGCCTCGGGAACGTCGCCTCCAAGGGATTACCGGGAAGGGCTCCGCTTGCAGGAGACGGGCAGCTGTCGTGGCTTCAGGAGAGCAGAAGATGGCTTACGGCTGCAATTCCAGCGCAGACTGAAGCACCTTCTGCCGAGAGTGCGCTTTCAGAGCAGGCAGCTGTTCCTGCCGGAGAGGGAGGAAAGGACAGTGGGAAATGCTGCCTTATTTCCATGGTTACAAGGAGTTGCCGTTGAGTTTCCTTGGGGGATTAGCATGTGAAAGTGGGAGGATGTGAAGGGGGGGAAAGCAGGGTGGGGTGGGGACACAGGTAACAAATCGCTGTGATGGAAGAGC